AGCCCAGTTTCTTCGAATCCGCAGCTTGAGGATTTTTGCCGCCAGTATAATGCATCTACACTTACTGAGCTACATCCAAGCTTTTGTAATAAAGATAAAATTAGTCTTATTATTCAAAAGCAACGCCTTTTAACAAATCCAAATGGGCAGGATGTTGATGGACTGATCTTTTTACTAAATATTGATCCTTTCATTCGTGTAAGTACTTTGCAAGTGCTTGCCAAGCAGTTACCGACTGCTTGTTTACTAATTCTTAGTATTTAGTCATATGTTCAAGACCGATATCATGATGCAGACGGAACTATGATTTTTTGTGCTTATAAAGAGCAGCTTCAACTACTTGCTCGCTTGGAATCATTTGAGGTTGATATGTCATACAAACGGCTTAGATCAAACAACATGAATGAGGTTCTTTTTGCAACATTCCTCAAGGATCAGAATAAAAGTAAGTACTTGCCAAGCACTTCAAGACCACTTACTAAGTGCTTTGATAAAGTTATTACACTTCTTCGTGTTTTCACTACCTTTGATACTGCTGATGGATACTATCTGCTTTTCAAACGAGCCTTTTCTCTTTTAGAAAAGATTACTGAAAAGCCTATACTTTTTCATTCTATTCATAACAGTGGATTTCATGGAGTGATTCTTGATATGGATACCAAGCAGTATAGCGGTAAGAATCTTATTAATTACTGATTGAGTACTTGGCAAATACTTATCAAGTACTTAGGACTCGGACGTTATCTTTCAGAGATTGACCCGCAGCATCGGGATTATGTATGGCAGTTACAACATTTTGTTGTTTTTTGCCGTGTTCATTTTCAGCGTACAATATTAAAGGCTATTGGAACAAGAAATAAGGATTCTTCTCCTGAAAGTCTTTATAGTCAAATGCTGGGTCTTTTAGACTGCAATACTGAAAAAGAGTTTGATGAGACAATTGAATGTTTTCTAAGTACTTAACTACTTCCTAAGCAGTTGCAAACTACTTACTAACTACTCACAGAATATGAAGACGACTCTGTCGTTAACTGGGCTAATCAAAAAAAAAGTGCAGTTATCAAAGCAGGCCTAATCAAAGCCTGTTCTGGAATTCCTTCAGTTTTTTATGATCAGTTACGACATCATACTAACGCAGTTGAGCAATCTCATCAAAAGTCCTATGCATCAGGAAAATATCTAACTCTGGTAGAGGCGGTAAAAAAGTAAGTACTTTTCAACCACTTCCCAAGCAGTTTCCAAGCACTTGGAAACCATTTGAAAAAAGTCTAAAATAATAATCTACATTTTAGTTCTGCAAAGCTGGATCGGAGTGATATTGATCAGTATAACGGTTATCTCGATTTTAATCTTCATCACTCATATCGCACTTCTACTGTTGAGGCCAACTATGTACGTCGAATGAGTTTAAATAGTAGTAAGTACTTGCAAACTACTTGGAGAGTACTTGTAAACTAATTATCTTTTTAGAAAGGCGTAAAAGGGCCTATTCTACACTATCAAGTCAGAAATCTGATCAATCTAGTTCTTCTAATCTTCAAGCTTCTACTTTCAGAAGATCAACATCACGATCGCTTTCTCAGACACCCTCCCAGGCAGATGAGACTCAGTATGATATTTTCAACCCTTTCAAGTAGTTTTCAAGTACTTACAAACTACTTAGATCAACCTCTTCCTCCCGGAGGGGTCTGCGTCAGACTGCTTCAACTAATCTTTTAAATTTAGAGCAAAGACGTCAGGAGCTTGAGATTCAAAAGCTTCAAACTGAACTTGATAAACAGAAAGCTGAGATTGAAAAACAAAGAGAAGAGACACGTGAAAAGGCTTTACAGAATGAAGAGCGTGAACTTGATCTTCTTGAACGCCGCCGCCGCCTACAAGAATTTGATTTAAGTAGTTACTAAGCAGTTTCAAAGTGCTTAGCAAGTACTTTTAATATATTTTTATAGCTTCTATACCACAGAGTACTTTACAAATTTTATATAAAAGAGATACTTTAAAAGTATTAGTTTAATATATATCAGATTTTTAAATAGTTCTAAGTACTTTCTAACCGCTTGAAAACTATTTGTTTTATTTCTTTTAATACTCCCCACTTGCCGCACACCCTGACTTAATATATATATCAGTACTCTGATATTAGTTTACAAAGTCTATACTTTTTTTTGATCCTTGCATAGTTTAAATTTACTTTTCTTAAGTACTTAAAAAGTAGTTTTCAATTGCTGAAGCATTTCTATGCCAGCTAGATACATGTCCCAAATTCAATTTCCTCCGTAGATTCAAGCGATTTCAAAGCACTTGCCAAGTACTTTTAAAATAGTTAAACCACATCAGCATTACCGTCGACTTCCTCAGCAGCACCACCAGCCGCAACCGGATGCAGATCTCCGCAATCAAAAAGAACAAAGTTGGCGCATTTCTGAATGTCACGACAGCAGGACTTTTTATCATCACAGTTCTTGCAAGGCACTGAGCCCCCAAGGTGAGGAACAACGTTGCGCATGTTGGTAATATGAGGCTAAGCAGTTAGCAAGTATTTTTCAAGTACTTTTTAAGTAGTTAGATATACTTACTTTGCCGGCCTTGTTCAGCGGAAGTTTAAAAACACCGGGAACATAGTTAGTCTTCTGCTTTTTAGCTGGAGAGCCAGCAGCAGAGCTGGCAGCAGAAATACTAGCAGAACCAGTAATCTCAAGATCGTCAGAAGTGTCACAGGGCTGTTTAGGCTTTTTGCCACCGAAAAGGCTTTTGTACCAGGCTAAGCAATTAGCAAGCAGTTCTGAAGTACCTGTCAAGCAGTTGATAAGCACTTACCACCAGCCGAATCCACCTCGCCCTGGCTGACCCGGCCTCCTTTATCATCCTTGCCCAAGATCACACCGTCATGGGACCGCACATGCGAGCGCAGATTGTTTGTACTGGAGAACCGCTTCTGAAGTAGTTGAAAAGTAGTTAGTATAGTACTGTATAAGCAGTTGGAAAGTACTTACCTTGCGCTTGCCGCATTCATCCACGCGACAGTAGACCTCACCGTAATGAATCTGAACCTCACCACCCGCATTCTAAGCAGTTAGCAAGCACTTGTCAAGTAGTTAGAAAGTAGTTAGAAACTCACGGTATCAAACTCAGGCAACTTGAGGTGCCCGGCTTCGACTTCACGCAAGTACCACACGTACCAGGACTATTTCATTCGAAATTTATCAGTTTTTCATCAAAAAATCACTTTGGAATCACTTTCTTATCATACAAATGATAATAAGCAATAAATAAGACCTTAATAAGCAGTTATACTTACATTTTCGCTCAGTTGAGCCATGGTTGCGGATGTGGGGAAGAAGAGGGAAATGATTGGTGGTGGGAGGTGTGGTGTGTAAGTGTACTGAAAAAGGTGATGTGGAATGAAATTTTCTGTTTGTGTAGGTAACAGGGTCGCTTGGAAGTCACATGATCAAACTGCTTATTAAGCAGTTTTCGTTCCACGCGACCCGAAAAAGCAGCACAGCTGATCTGCAACCACCC